TTTAGTTTAGTTTAGTTTAGTTTATTGAAGTTGCATCTTATATCATATTTACATACAATGCAAGAGCAAAAATCTTAGGTCTCCCCCCTCCCGACCAACAGCAGCTTAAGTGCCTATATCCATATGTTAAGAACACACACACACCCACACACACACCAACAATGACAACAATAAATTTAAAACTGCTCACAATGATTAAAACACAGTACATTACTGTGGCAAATAAATAAATAAGGTCTATCTATTGTTAAGAAGCCTAATAGCTTGGTGAAAAAATGAGTCTCTAAGTCTGCAAGTTTTTGCTCTCAGGCTGCAGTAGCGCTTGCCAGAGGGAAGCCGCTGGAAAAGGTTGCAGTTAGGGTGGCTGGGGTCCTTGACAATCTTTTGGGCCTTCTTCTTGCACCTCTCCTGATACAGTTCTGCTATAGGTACAAGCTCACAGCCGCATATTTTCTGAGCAGTTTTGACCACTCTTTGTATTGCTCTGCGGCTGTTTGTAGTGCAGTTGCCATACCAGGAGGTGATGGCCCCTGTGAGGACACTCTCAATTGTGCCCCGATAGAAGGCACAGAGAACAATGGGGCCCATGCCAAATTTCCTCAGACGCCTAAGGTGGAACAGGCGTTGCTGGGCCTTCCCCACTATTCCTGTAGTGTGTAGGTCCCAGGTGAGGTTATTGGTGATGTTGATCCCAAGGAACTTAAAACTGCTCACCCTTTCCACAGCATTCCCCTGAATCATCAAAGGAGTTAGTTCAGCTCTCTTCTTCTTCCTAAAGTCCACCACCAGCTCTTTCGTTTTTGCCACATTTAGTGACAAATTGTTATCCTGACACCATTGTACCAGATTCTCCACTTCCTCCCTGTACAACGACTCGTCATCACCTCTAATCAGGCCCACTACCGTGGTGTCATCAGCGTACTTGATAATGAGGTTTGACGAGTGTAATGGTGTGCAATCATATGTGTACAGTGAGTAAAGAAGAGGACTAAGCACACAGCCTTGGGGCGCTCCGGTACTCACGGTTAGAGGAGCAGAGGTGAAAGACCCCATCCTAACCACCTGACGGCGGTTACTTAGGAAGTCCAAGATGAGATTGCAGAGGTCAGATGGAAAACCAAGGCTGCTGAGTTTATTGACCAGTCTAGAAGGGATTATTGTATTAAATGCCGAACTATAGTCAATAAAAAGTAATCTGGCATAAGAGTTTTCATTTTCCAGGTGCGTTAGTGTATTGTGGAGGACTGTAGATATAGCATCGTCTATGGATCTATTTTCTCGATAGGCAAATTGATGGTGATCCAAAGTTTTTGGGACAAGAGTGCTGATGTAATCTCTTATAAGCCGTTCAAAGCATTTGCTCACTATCGGAGTAAGGGCAACAGGCCGCCAATCATTTAGACACATGATTTTTCATCACTTTAATCAGTGATCAGTCAGACAATCAATCTTACGATTTGATTTAAACCTTTTAGTGCTGCAGTTCCTAATAAAGTTGTCGGCCAACTGGCTTTGTTTTATTTACTTACTAAAGCCAATTTGTTTTCACAATTGGTGCATGGCAAGTACTAATTTTGGACCTTGTGAGCATATAAAATGATGAATAATTAAAAAGGCCTCATAATAAGCAGTTATGGTTACTCTGGGGCTAAGCCATGATGGCTCTTAAAGCGTGTGTATTTTCAGACAGCTAAAGAATTGTGTGCAGGACAATGGCATATGTACTATGAACGGTTTTATTAATTTTGTCTATGTACTTGAGCCTTTACCATGGAAACTATTACATTTTTTTTTAATGAGGCCTCAAGCTTCAATACAATAGCATCTAGCCAATTTCACAGACCTTCTGCTCACAGCTTTAAGCTTCATGCTTTTAAAAAAGATATCCAACCAGGAACAAATAAAGAAAAACAACACTATCTGGATTCACAAAGTGACCCACTGTATTGGATGAAGGTCAGGGGTTTTGGGAGCAATCATTCAGTGCTGTAGCACAAACACTGGAGGTATGGGTGAACAAAACAACAACAAAAAAACAGTAACTTATTGTGATACTCTTGTCACGATACAGAATCAATACACAGGTGGCACTTATTTTCCATTTCAAGGCATTGACAATTTTTTAAATAACTTAATACAGTCGACTAACTATTAGTCAACTAGAAGAGACTTGGTCGACCAAAATTGTATTAGTCCGTTAGTCGCAGAAAAAAAGGAAGTGGCGAAATCACGCAGGCTGTGAGGGACAGATCGTTAACGGCAGGAAATCCAAACATTTGTCCGTCATTCAGCTGCTCCCGACGAGCTGGATGGCGCCTTGCATGGCTGACACCGCTGTCGGTGAATGAATGGGTGAATGTGAGGCAATATGTAAAGCGCTTTGGTGGCCATTGGGTCTGTGAAAGCGCTATATAAATGCAGTCCATTTACCATTTACCATTCATCAACCTCAAATATGGCTTATCACTTGAAACATGTAAGTGGTAGCAACTTAACAAGTCCGCTCGCTCTAATGGTAACTTAGATAAATATGCGCTATTATGCGCATACCCGAGTGTTTGTGTGGAGAGCGCACTTACTGCATGACATAAAGCCATCACTTGCATTTAACTTAAAATACTCCGTCATTTTTGGTCATACAGATAAGAGTAATGTAAACTGTGAAGGGTATACTTTTATTTGTGTAAACTTTTTTGTTGTACAAACAACAAAACGTTTCCCAATCTGGATGTGCTTTCTGTCATCTCGGTCTTAGTGAACTTGAGCACGTCACAAAAATGAACCAAAACTCATCGTCCTCACAGACATGAGAAATATATCTATAGAAAACTTGAAATGTCTACTTTAAATGAACCAATTCAAATGGAAAATAAATATTCTCAGATTATGTAGGCTAATCCGTATGAAACGTGCATATAGGCTCGGCCACTACTGTGAAGAGGACGAGTCAGCATCGTTGACTTAATCTCTGCAGCCGAAATAAATTATTCAAATGTCTATTATAGACAGTCTCCTTCTGGTTTTTCCCCTACATTTGCCAGTGCGCTGTGGCAAGCTTGACGTGTGCGTTTGAGCACTGATTAGGCTATGTATTATATATAGGCAATTAAAGGCTCATTATTGTGATGAGCGACTACAAGTTGACTAAAATCTTTAGTCGATGGCAGCCTTAATAATTTTTTTAATCAAGTTTAACAGTGGAATTCCTGGTGGAAAAACTACATTACCCATGATTCTGCAAATAAATCTTCACCAGAGAATTGCAAAAAAAAAAAATAAAAAAAAAAAAAATATATATATATATATATATATATATATATATATATATATATATATATATATATATATATATATACATACATATATATACACACACACACATCAGGGTTTCCGTTGTCCGGGGAAAAAATGAAATGTCAGACAAAATTAAATCTCTCCGTTCAAATTGTCCGATTAAAATTGCGTAATAATCCCGCCCCCCTAACACAATATGAATTTGTGAATAAGCCTAAAATGTTTAAAGCAAAAATACACCGACCTTTGGCTATGTTATAAAGGAACAGGCTCTACCGTTAGAAAGTTATTAAACAACATCGCATGCTGCATTTCAAATAAAGCCCACACCTAAAACGGCTGTAATATAGACCTAAACAACGAACGATTGAGTGAGACGTTTCAAATATGGCCAGGCCCAGGCAGGCTAGCCTTAAAAGCTTTTTTCAGAGGCCAGACGCGACGGATGATGGTGAATCAGGACCATCTCATTATATAGATCAGTGGTTCTAATCTGCGCACTCGTAGGCTACAGTTTTTTTTTTCTCTCATCAAAACTGAATAGCCTATGTTCATCAGTGGTTACAGCCTATATCAAGCAGGGACACGTTTGTGTGCATTTTATTTTGTGATTTCAACGGAATGAATAGAGAGCCTCCGCAACGGCGATAGATTGAAACGCGCGTCCGAGTGAAGATTGCGCAACTCGCGCAGCGCGTCGTCCATGCAACTGATAGCAGCGGACACGAGCGCTCAGCTTGATTTCAAAAACAACAGATTTTAGCGCTAGATCTCTTATTTAATAGCGAACTAAATGAATGATCTGCTAGTTAACTGGAGATGTTTTATTTATTTGTATTAGGTACATCCGTGCCTCAATGTTTCAAAAAGTGAATGTGTGTGAAACCATAGTAAAAAACAATTGGTGTTGATCGACGCCAATCGGACATTCATGTTTTTTTGCATTTTGCATGTTGCATTCTATACGGCCTGATTATGTCATTTAAGTTACATAGCTTGCCTCCAGTTTTCCTCAACTTGACTAATTAAGAGGCGATATTTGACCGGCATATCATCAAAATGTCCGTAAAACGAAACCTCTGCTGGGGCCAGGGCACCATTTTTTTCTAGCGGAAACTGACACACATATAAATATATATGCATATTTTGCAATAAACATAACATATATTGTTTCAATGTATACATAGTCAACATCTTTAAAGCAATTGGTTTTCCATTGTTTTTAATTTGACGCATTTGCAGTGCTTCTTGGGATTTTAGTTCTTTCCCCAATTAAAGACGTTATATACAAGTCGTCTTGTACCACTGTCTTTTTGTCTAATTTCTAATTTTTCTTTTTGCTTCAAATCAAAGTTTTTAACTTTGTAGCTGGTTGACTTGGTTCATGGTTTATAATTCATTAACAAAGACTTTTTGAAAAACGAATAGTGAAAATTTGTCCAGAACCAAGACCGCTGAAAACGTCGGTGGACACTAATGCACTCTACTGTAACAAAAAAGGATAATATGTTCTGTATCGTGACCCAAGTTTCAACACGAAGGAAAATGGATGATTTCCAGTGCAACTGAGCTCCGGAGGAAGGGCCAGGCAGGTCAGGGAGTAACTACCAGACAATGAGAAGATTCTATGGTTTAAAAAAAAATTAACGAAAATGGCAGGCACAGTCACATGACACAAAAGCACAGGCAGCTGATTGGTGCATTACCCTGTCAGGTGATAGGTTGGAGATGCAGCAAGCAGAGAGTGGGTGGTCCACACCACAAACGAGTGCTGGTGGCTGCCAAAAACAACGAGAGATATAGCATCACTAAACACACGCACATTCCCAGAAAACATGCAAACACTCGCGACCCAAAGAAAAAGTGTACACACAGACACAAATCACAAGCGTCAATCTGAGAGAGCGAGAAATCACTAGGGTATTCATTCAATTATCCAGTTTAGATTGATCTGAGCCTCTAAATTACTGATAAATTAGATGATGATGACTAGTGATACAACTCGGTTTGATGAAGACAATTTGACATGAAATGGCAAAGCATAACACGCACACAACAGACTGTGCTGATGGGATCAAGATGAGACATGACAAAGCATGTACAAACCTTTATCCACCAAATGAAGACAGGATTTAGAAGACAACTAAAATCGGTAAAAACTCACACTATGCACATAACCATCCACAAAATATGATGCAGAAGGACAATGAGAGATATTTAGTGATTGGGGAGAGATTTAGATAAAAAATGGTGCAGAAAGAATGAAAGAGATACAGATGAATGGAGAGAGAGAGAGAGAGAGAGAGAGAGAGAGAGAGAGAGAGAGAGAGAGAGAGAGAGAGAGAGAGAGAGAGAGAGAGAGAGAGAGAGAGAGAGAGAGAGAGAGAGAGAGAGAGAGAGAGAGAGAGAGAGAGAGAGAGAGAGAGAGAGAGAGAGAGAGAGAGAGAGAGAGAGAGAGAGAGAACAAGGGTAAGCAAAAGAGCATTAGCTTAACAGCATTCTTTAATAATTCTGTATTATGGAGAACAGGAAGAACAGAGCTGAACAGGACAGGAGAACAGCTGGCCATCACCACAACCCCCCTCCCCCTCACACAACACACACACCTCACATATTCTGCTTTGATTAACCAACATCCTTTTCAACTCTCCTGGACCAGATCCCTGCTTGTTAATTCGAATTTGAGAAAATTTCTCTCTTTCTCTTTCTCTTTCTCTTTCTCTCTCACACACACACACACACACACAAACACACACACACACACACACACACACACACACACCTGCTCTATTTTCTCCTGATTCAGATCATACCTCTTCAAAACAGTTCAGTTACCCTGAGCATTCACTCCTCAGAGAGAATTAGAAACTAACCTGAAGTCTGATAATGAAATATCAAACATTAGCAAATGGGTGGGGGGAGGAGAGAGAGATGACTGGTTTGATATTATAAAATGTGTTGCTACTAAATATAACTGGCATTCTGTTGTGCCCTCTCTAGGCTGTTCTTCCTAAAAAGACATTATAGTGAAGGACGACTTTAAATCTAGGACAAAAGGCTTGAGGGAGGGAACATATTCCTGCTGTTAGTGCAGACTCAAGACTTTGAGTTTTGATGTTCAAACTAGTGCAATGTGAGATCAAGGTGTTGATTTATCGATTAAACTAAAGGGTTACAGGATTTTTTTAGGAATAGCTTAAGCTCTTTCGACTGTATCCATGTCATGTTGTCAATTACCTCAGGAAATCATGTCAACTCTCTTCTCAGGTTATAAGAACAGGAAATGCAGTAATGCACGTACAATGGAGGCCTAGCAGGCAAATGCCTCAGAGGGTTTCAAGACCAAAATGTGAAGCTCAGATTTTTGTCAAGGCACTTTGACTACCATTTCAAAAGTTTGGGTCATTAAAGCTGAAGCCCGCAGTTTTTCCTCTTTGTCGCCATCTCTATTCGAAATCTGCATTTGCAGTTATTTGCAGAATTATCAACTTTACATGGGTTGTATTTCGACACGGCACAGCGCGGATGAACACAGTGTTTGAGGAGAGTGTGCAGCTGTCAGTCACCGCGCCGGTGTGGATACTGGCATTCAGAATCACAGATTATTCTTTTTGGAAGTATGACCAACATAATAATTTTCACCGGAAAATGTCATCTGAACAAGTAAGTAACATCCACTTTTGTTCTGGTTCTGACATTGCAGTAAATCGCACTGATTAAATCTAACAATCGCTTATTATATCACGCAAAACCGTGCAAATTATACTTTGTTCTCAAATTGTTCATGTTAACAACATCTGCATTGCGTGACTGCATTTAAAGCCCTTCAGATATTTATCCTTGTTTTCACATGGGTCCGGTTGCAGTCTCTTTTTCCAAACTCACAGTCCAAAGTCTTTTGCATTTTACAACGGGTGAATCTCTAGTTGTCACTGGTGATTGCCGTTTGAACCTTTCTGGATCCGCCATCAAATTGATGTTTAATTATATCAAGTGCTGTGAGAAAAGGCTATAAATCTCCACCTCCAGCATCCTCACACGCAATATAGCTTATACTAGCCGAGACTCCTTCTTTAAGTGTACAGATGTGACGTAATGACGCAAAGACATGCTCGAATCTCCCGCGGAAATCCACCAGTACCACTGGAGTTAAAAACATTATTAGAAGCTTACCGTTTTGAATCGAGCTAAGACAAGCAGATAGTTTTGAACACTGGCTGGTTATGCATTTTCTCAAATATGTATTTTGGATAATTTTTAACCCCAAAAAAGCTACGGACTGCAGCTTTAAGCTTTTAAATGTTATTGAAAGACTTTCTTTTTTATACTCACCAAGGTTGGATTCATTTAATCAAAAATACAGTAAAACTATAATAATATTCCACAATATTTCTATGTAAAATTAAATCCAATTTGAAATATTACAATTTAAAGTAATTGTTTTCTATTTGAATATATTTTAAAATGTAATTTTGCAGCATCATTACTCCAGTCTTTAGTGTCACATGATCCTTTAGAAATCACTCTAATATGCTGATTTGATCTAATATGCTGAATATGATTTTTTGTGGAAACCATAATAAATTTTTCCAAGATTCTTTGACAAATAGAACGTCCAAAAGAACAGCATTTATTCAAATAGAATTTATTTTGTGATAATATAAAAGTATTTACTGTCACTTTTGATCAATTTAATGCATCCTTGCAAAAATGTGACTAATGCGCCACTCATTTTATCATCTAATGTGGGTGTAGGTTGAGCGTGTGTGTGGTTCCACACTTCTGTGTCAAAGTGTGTGTAATTTGTGGGCAGAAATGTGGGGTTATTTTTTGTTTGTTTGTTTAAAATGCACTTCCAGACAAATCTGCACGATTTCATGGCATGGTGTGTGTGACTCCCAAGGCGATCTGCTTGGTGATGCACAGAAACAGATTTATCCCCCATATAATAAGGAGATCGGAGTGTTGATTGAAAGGGTGATGATACAGAGACAGCTGACTCTGATGAAGAGCGCAGATACTGACAGATTAACATGAAGCAACAATATCTTATCTTTATCAATATCTTATCTTTATCAATATCTTTCCCTCTAGCATTGCTAGTGCTGTTGAACGGATTCTTAGACACCTCTGGTTGGCCATTGCGTTCACGTGCTCGGCTGGTAAAGAATGACCACAAAAAGGTGAAATGCGACCTAAAACATGACTTATTTAAAACATGTAAGTAGTAGCCTAACGTTAGCCATTTTACGTGGCCTTAAACGTGCGATGTTAGGGTGCAAATGCACGTCTTTGTGTGGAGTGTGGAAGCTAAATTAGTAAGCTAACTTCCACACAATCGGAGCGTATCTATCTTCTCAAAGGCCGGTGTTGCGGCTTCATTGTTAGCAAGAGCTCACTTCTCCCCAACGTGGACAAACTGTTGTTCCCTTCTCATAAAACAAGACGACAGAAATCATAAGAAAAAAAAAAAAAACAGTGACGGCGACGAGTCAGTTATAGCCTAATTGTCTATATTATTGTAGTGTTTCAGTTTGCTGCAATATTTTTTATTTATTAATTTTTATATTTATTTTTATTGTTTTTGGACTTCTGAGTTTTCATTCAGTGTTAAAGCTACTTGTCTGTCGACCTTATTATGTTTGCACTGATATTTCTCTTTTACATGTTTCAGTTTGTTGTATAATTATTTATTCATCTATACTGTATGTCCAACATTTCAAGTGTATTTTTATTAAATACATTTATTTCTAAGATAAGGCTATTTATATTATAGGATACATTTTGTCTGTATGCGTTCTGATCTCATAAAGTTCATATGATGTTTGCCAGTGTTGCTGTGGCAAGCTTTGTGCGTGCTCAATTTAAAATGTATACGCTCTAGGCATGTGCCGGTATCAAATTTTCATGCTGCGATTAATTGATTGAGCTTTTATCACGGTATACGGTATTATCACGATATTTTAATTGCACAAGAGAAACAGACGGATTGGGGGTATCTAAAAAAAACTTGCATCACAATGTGTAATTGTGATTGTCAAAACATTAATTTTATTTTTTAGTGACAACATGTTATAATGTTTACATGGTTACTGAGGCTACTGTTTGTATTATTGCTTAACACAATTTTCATGATTTCAATTAAATTCTTGGATTTAATTTCAATCTTGATTCAATATTGACTCATTTGGATAAATATTAGGTAGGCTACAGTAGATAGCCTGCATTTAAATGTTTCTCAAGAAAATATATATCTCACATAATGCTGTAAACATACAGAGAGAAATTAAATATAATGCATACAATATAAATATAATAATAATATAAATATAAAAATGTAGTATGCCGTAATTTTCATTATAATAACAATTATATAATGACAAGTACATATTAAAATATGTAATATAGTGCACATATTTAGCAAAATACTCCTCTCTATAGCTATTTTCTTATAGTCAACTAACATTAAATGGCTTTCCTGAGGTAAATGTAACGTTCTGTGACATAATTGTTCTCCTGCAGTGTTATTGACCTCTTTCCGTGGTTGAAAAACACTGATTGATCGAAAGTACGTACCTTTCGGTGGGTTGTACTGTATCTTTAATAAAAAGTAACAGATGATCGGTTTACTTGATCTGAGGCGCGCGATCTGTCACGTCACATTTACAAGCACCAAAACAGTATTTATTGTCTGAATTTCGTTATAAAACCTGAGAGCTGATATTTTTTTCATATCAAAAGTAACCTGCTCTGTCTAGTCTGTCGGTGTCAGTGTCCT